CCCCAAAACCCCAAAACCCCAAAACCCCATGTTAGATTAAATTAATTGAAATATTCACAGATCAATGCTTCCTGACCAGTTTCTGATTCCCTTAGACTAAAAGGGAAGATCAAATATGAGGAATTTAATAATGATCATTAATTTGGAATTGAGATTTTGTAAGCTTCAGAAGTATACGGATCAATTCCTTCTATAGTAATATCTGCAAACTCATACTTTTCAAGGTACTCTTTCAGCAAAGCTCTGGGGCAAGGAAACAAATAAGTTAATGTTGATAATGAATTCTTCAAACTACTGCTGCCTACTTCTTTAAAGAAGAACTCTTGGTCAGTTGTTGCATCACTGCAAGTTGAAGAGGAAGTGTTATTGTTCCATTCTGAATGATTAATTTCAAGAACCAGAAGTTTAAATAATTTGTTTTGATTTAATTGAACTCCTTCAGGAGAAAGAACACACATCGAAAACTCTAAGACTTCTAGTTCCTCAATACACTGAAAGATTCTTTTTAGTTCTCTTTTTGGAATGATAAATGATGTTAGGATAAAATGGTTCAGGCATTTTGGAATTAATTTACATACAAAGGGACAAAACGCTTTGAAGTTAAACTTCTTTTCGCAGCTTAGTCCGATCCTGAAGCTAGATCAATAAGTGATATAACTGTTTTTATAGAATTCGATAACTTTTCTTAGTTTGGACAAGTCATAGAAAGCTCCTGTGATTAAGATTCCTCATTTTCTCATAACTTGTCTAATTTTTGCTAGCTTATTTAAAGCTAGAGTATTCTTTATCCTAAAAATATTTAGCTTTTTAGACACAAGAATATCAGCTAGTATATAAGTCATAGAATGTGAAAAGTAAAGATTACCTGATTTGAGAAGTACAAATCTCAATCGACTGTTTTGTCTAAGAAAACACTATCTCAGAATCAGAAGAAGTTGGGATCGAACCATTCACTATAGTTATGTGGGGTAGTTTACGATGTTATATATTTATTCAAATCGTCCTCTTTTACCAGAAGAGCCCTGTCTCTTAGTATTGTTTCCATGCTTAAGAAGTATGGTATAGGAAATAATTCAATAATAAATGTTATCGAAGGGGTTTTGGGGTTTTGGGGTTTTGGGG